AAACAGTTGTTAATTCATTAGTTTCAACTTAGTATTGAGTACATGTGGTGCTTGTTTTTTCATTCCTGCAATATGTGAGTGTTCTCCAAATCCATCCAGGTTGTTACAGTACAAAATCTCCCTCTTTTATAGTTGAATAGTATTTCGTACTGTACATATACCACAGTTTATTAATCCAGTCATGTGGTGAAGGACGTCTGGGCTGTTTCCCCATCTTTACAGTTGTGAATCGTGCTGTTCTAAACATTCAAGTGCAAATGTCCTTATAGTAAAATGACTTTTTTTTCTTTTGGGTATATGTAATGGGATTAATAGGGTTGCAAAATCAAACGGAAGGTCTACTTTTAGTCATTTGAGGACTCGCCATACTTCTTTCCATAAAAGCTGTACTAATTTGCAGTTCCATAAACAATGTGGGTACAGAAAGAAAGAAAGGAACACTCAGGGACTATTTTTCATTTTTATAGCACTATAGGAAGAACAATTTTTTTTTTTTTGAGACAGAGCCTCAAGCTATCCCCCTGGGTAGAGTGCCGTGGCTTCACAGCTCACAGCAACCTCCAACTCCTGGGCTCAAGCGAGCCTCCTGCCCCAGTCTCCCAAGTAGCTGGGACCACAGCTGCCCACCACAACGCCCGGCCATTTTTTTTGGTTGCAGCCATCATTGTTGTTCGGCAGGTCCGGGCTGGATTCAAACCCGCCACCCTAGGTGCATGTGGCTGGCGCCTTAGCCACTTGAGCCACAGGTGCCGAGCCAGGAAGAACAATTTTTGATTGTGCTACGTATTTTCATGAAGATTATTTTCACTTAAACATCGCAAAAGTCTGGTTTCTCTTCAGAGTGGAGAAAAATCGTTTGCCTTTTACAAAAGTTTTGTGCAATAAATGGCATTACGCTTATTTTTCAAGAAACGGATAAACTAGTAGAATGCCAGAACTCTTTTGCTAATACTCTACTGGAGTAATTAGAAATTATGCCTTAAAATTTTGCTATTTTTTGGGCAAAATTTGTGCCAGTAGATTTTTCACTTGGTGACCTGTGTTCACTCAAGAGGATTTGGACACATCATCAGATTACTTGACTCATCTGGCTACATCTGTTTTGGCAAAAACGTAGAGCAGGACAAACTTCAAACGGTTTTTACATGTCATTTTCTTTCTTTCTTTAACCTATCGAGGTAATTCACAAAGGCAGTTGTTTTCAAATGCCTTCTTCTGAGGCTGAATGCTAAAATAGGCCAGTATTGACCACTGCTGAAGAAACCAGGTAACAAACCTTTAACAGTAGACAAAACAGATGCCACAGACCATGAAAGATGCTTGCTGATATTTTGCAACGAAGAAAGTTTTTGAGCTTGGTTTTCTTGATGCCGTGTCAGCAATTCAATCTTTTATTGGGCTGTGCTTAACACGCTGAGATGAATATAGGATTTTGTGCAGTTTCAAAGAGTTAAGACAACAGAGGCAGGAATCTTTTCCGACACTTTGGTCATTGCTATGATCAACAAGCACAAGAGGGTAAAGAGAAGAGAGGCATTCTTCCTGTAGGAGCTTAACATCCCGGGGGAAAGTCGATTTGCCACGTTCAGGGTGTGACTGAGTTGTGCGATGCCCTGACAAGCGGGCCCTCCCGTTGGGCTCCTATTGCCAGCCCTGTACCATCCCACCCAATAGTTCCCATCCCTTCTCTGTTCCCTCTGTAGATTCTCTTCCTCTGTCCTCCTTATAGTGTTAGTGTTTTCCAAAAAAGTTTTATCCAGACCTCTCTCTGGCAGAACGTATCTTTTCTTTTTCTCTTCCAAAAAAAAAAAAAATACAAGGTGTCCCCAAAGTTGCTACAAATAGGAAAAATTAAACTCATATTTTATATATATACGCACACACACACACACACATATATATATATTTTTTTTTTTTTTTGCAGTTTTTGGCCAGGGCCAGGTTTGAACCTGCCACCTCCTACGGTATATGGGGCCAGTGCCCTACTCCTTTGAGTAGGGCAAATACAGGCGCTGGCGGCGTATTTTATATTTTTAATATTTATATGTTAATACATAGAGAAACAGTTTTTGGTATTTTGTAATTAAAGGTACATTTGAAGCAGAAATAAATCTTATGCTTCTTAGTGATCCTGAGACAGCAGAAGGGAGCTGCAGAAGAACATGTCCTCTAAAGATGAGAACAAATTTTACATTGAGCTAAAGTAATCTTGGAAAAAGCTACGTAACAAATAAACAGCATCCTGGTTTCTTAAGAAATATAATCATTAGGTGTGGCGGAGGCCCCGCCCAAGGTGGCAGGAACCTGGAGGGAGGAGGAGGAATATGTCGGAGTGGACTGTGCCAGTGGGAACAGATGTGCCTGCAGCTGAGAAGCAGAAGCTGAGCAGCAATGAGAACAGCAACCCCGACCTCTCTGGAGAGAATGATGATGCTGTCAATATAGAAAGTGGTACAAACACTGAACGCCCCAGTACATCTACAAACACATCAAATGCACCTGGAAGGAAAAGTTGGGGAAAGGGAAAACAGAAGTCAAAGAAATGCGAATATTCTTTCAAATGTGTAAATAGTCTGGAGGAAGATCATAATCAACCATTGTTTGGAGTTCAGTATAACTGGCACAGTAAAGAAGGAGATCCACTAGTATTTGCTACTGTAGGGCGCAACAGTTACCTTGTATGAATGTCATTCACAAGGAGAAATCTGGTTGTTGCAATCTTTTGTGGATGCTGATGCTGATGAAAACTTTCACACTTGTGCATGGACCTATGATAGCAGGATCCAGAGGCATAATTAGGATAATTAATCCTATAATGATGCAGTGCATAGAGCACTATGTTGGCCCTGGGAATGCCATCAATGAGCTGAAATTCCATCCAAGAGATCCGAATCTTCTCTGTATCTTGCTCTTGTCAGTAAGCAAAGATCATGCTTTACAATCATGGAATATCCAAACGGACACTGGTGGCAATATTTGGAGGCATAGAAGGGCACAGAGATGAAGTTCTAAGGGCTGACTATGACCTTTTGGGTGAAAAAATAATGTCCTGTGGTATGGATCACTCTCTTAAACTTTGGAGGATCAATTTAAAGAGAATGATGAATGCAATTAAGGAATCTTATGATTATAACCCAAATAAAACTAACAGGCCATTTATTTCCCAGAAAATTCATTTTCGGCTCGGTGCCTGTGGCTCAAGCAGCTAAGGTGCCAGCCACATACACCTAAGGTGGCAGGTTCGAATCCCCAGCCCAGGCCGCCAAACAACAATGATGGCTGCAACCAAAAAATGGCCAGGCGTTGTGGCGGGCCCCTGTAGTCCCAGCTACTTGGGAGGCTGAGGCAGGAGACTCGCTTGAGCCCAGGAGTTGGAGGTTGCTGTGAGCTGTGATGCCACAGCACTCTACCCAGGGTGACAGCTTGAGGCTCTGTCTCAGAAAAAAAAAAAAAAAGAAAAAGAAAATTCATTTTCCTGATTTTTCTACCAGAGAGATACATAGGTATTATGTTGATTGTGTGTGATGGTTAGGTGATTGGATACTTTCTAAGTTTGTGAAAATGCCATTGTGTGCTGGAAACCTGGCATAATGGAAGATATAGATAAAATTAAACCCAGTGAGTCTAATGTGACTATTCTTGGGTGACTTGTGACATTGGTACGTAAGGTTTTCTATGGATTTCTGGCAAAAGATGCTTGCATTGGGCAATCAAGTTGGCAAACTTTATGTTTGGGATTTAGAAGATCCTCATAAAGCCAAGTGTACAACACTGACTCATCATAAATGTGGTGCTGCTATTCGACAAACCAGTTTTAGCAGGGATATCAGTATTCTTGTAGCTGTTTGTGATGATGCCAGTATTTGGCGCTGGGTCCAACTTTGATAAAATATTTTTGCCTAATCAAAATTATAGTGTGTTGTCTATGTAAAACAGAATTAATGTATCTTGCTAATGAGGACACGTAGAGCATTTAGAGTTGTCTTTCAGCATTCAATCAGGCTGAGCTGAATGTAGTGATGTTTTCATTGTTTACATTCTTTGTACTGTCTTCCTGCTCAGACTCTACTGCTTTTAATAAAAATTCATTTCTGTAAAAAAAAAAAAGAAATATAATCATTAGCTCCTTGTACCCTTTGTCGTAACTGTAACTATGCAGCTGATACTGAGCTGAAGAAAAAAGGATCAAAGTGGAGAAAGCTGTTTCCTTGGAACTCAGAGTTTCAGGCCTTAAGGCACGTGAGTTCCGGCAGGCAATTAAAAGTTCCTTCCTCTATACTGTCGGTGTAAGAGTCTATTTTAAGTCGCCCGGGTGCTGCGACACATTTAGCTACAACGTCCCGATTTCCCTAAGTACGTACGGCGACCTTTCCTCCGCCTCTCACGTGTATGTCACATAGACGAAGCAATACAATGCCAATCTCAAGAACCCACCATCCGATAAAAAATGGAACAGCTGCACCGTGAGTCCCCTGCGGAGATACGAACACCGCCAATGTCCCCACACTCCCTTACAGCTTCGCCGCCAAAGGCAAGACAGGCAAGGAGAGGAAGCTGGGCCATACTTTTAGGTTTTTGCACACCTGCAAAGCATCCTAGGAACGCTTCCGATTCAGCATCCACGGAAACAAGCGCTAACGCACGACAAACCGAACACCTCCTCCCCGACCCACCCCCACCTACTCGCGTGACCATGGCAGCCGGAACCTAACACAACCCGGCTACCCGTCGACCCCGATCGCCTTTGCTTTAGGGACGCGCAAGCGCAGTGGGACTGGTGAAAAGCAAAGGCTATGGCGTCATCAGCCTGCGCGGCTACGGGCACGTGGTTAAACAGGTCTTGGTCTCGCCCTTCTGGCTTCTCTAGCTACGTAGCCTGCCTGTGCGCTGCGCAAGCGCAGTGAGGACTGTGTGGCGTCGCATGCCGTTGACGTCATCAAGGCCGCGTCTCTTGTGTGAGAGGCGCCAGGAGGTGCGGAGGTCGGACGACTGGAGACAGCATGAACGGCTGCGTGTTCTTCCTGCGCACTGCAGTGGCCGCGCGCGCTTGCCAGCCTCTGGTGGCTTTCGGCGCGAGTCGGCGGGCTTTGCGCACTAGTCCACCGATACAAGCTTTCGCCAAAGAGCTTTTCCTGGGCAATATCGAGACGGTAACGCGCCCCTGGGCGGACCCATGCTGTCTGGCTCCTGTTTCTCGCCCTTTTCCAGGCAAAGCTGGGGTCGAACTTTGTCAGAGTCCTCAAACCTGCCAGAGAATTATACCCTGGGAGCTTGGCGTGTTAATACTCTGGGTGCTTGGATTCCACTGGACCCTTCCCACGCAAAGGATGGAACATTTCCAAGGCAGGGCCCTGAGAAATATGGTGTTGCCGTGTTCCAACTAATTTTTGTCAGGGGAATTTGGGAAATCCTAGGCAAGTTGATCACTAAACAGCCGTTCCCACCCAGTTGTTCTGGCCTCGACATGTGGGTGGCTTTCTTATTCCTAAACACAGCTGAGACCGTGCCACTCTTCTGTCACTTTCCAGCGGCCCCAGGGCGTCCTTCCCCGGGTGAGCCTTTCCCTGCCACTGAGGTTCCACAGAAATTTGGCCCTAAGGTGAATTCCGCAGTCACACTACCCTGCCGGTAGTAACCAGCCAGTAATAACTCAGTGGGTTTATTCAGAACCCACTTTCCTCTTAGAGTTGAAAGACTTGGGTTTGATCACGGCTCTCGGACTTTGCGATTCTTTCAGCCTTAAAGTGGTGCTTAGCGACGTCTTCCCTCAAAGATTGTGTTGTAGGGCCCTAGTGAGAATACACAGTGCATGGAGATTCTTAAAGTGTTACATACTGGGCAGCGGAAGAGATACAATTAGCGCTGGCTTAAATACTTACTAGTCCTGTGACCTTGGGCTAATTGGTTCACCTGCCTTAGTGGGTTCATCTACAAAATGGGAGTAAACACAGTACTCGCCCCTCCTAGAGGTTCTGTGTTTGGAGCTTGGCAGAACGTTGGCTAATCCTGTATCAGAGAAGCAGTTATTCTGTAGCTCTCCTTAGAACATTACTAAGGTTGTCAGGCTCATCCCTCTATAGCAGTGCTCCAGATGTACAAGGTGAGATCCAGACTAAGAGCTGTTTGCCCTGCTGGAAATTGCAGAGCTGGGTCTTTAAAGGATGGTTGGGTGGTGCTGTGGCCTGGAATCTCCTGCCTCCCAAGTATAGTGAAGAAAGAACAGGGGTCTTGAGTGTCTGTTTCTGTCTCTACCCCTGTGGCACCACCTCCCCCACTCTCACTCTCAGCTGTCAGCTTGGCTTCCTGTGTCACTGAGAAAATCAAGCAGAGGAGACCTTCTGCCACCATAGTTATGCCTTCCTCTCATGTGTGTCCACTTTATCTGCATTCTGCTACTGCGGATGAACTGTCTGCTCATGGCAAATCCACCCCCCCTGGTTAGACCTGGGCCTTGTCACCCACTCAGGATGATTTTCTCCTTTCTGCTCTGCATCCAGTGTTCTCTCCTTTCTACCGTTCAGGCTTTTGTTCCTGACCAGTCCCTAGAGTGAGCAGTGACCTCTAGTGACCTGTTCTCAGTCCTCATCCTACTGGATGCCTCAGTGGCATCTGACACAGTTTATCCCCCCTCCTTCTTGGATACACTTTCTTCTCCAGCTCCTTAAACACAGTTCTTACCATTCTCTGAATTATAAAATATGTCACTGACTGGTCCTTCTCTGTGTCCATTGCTGGTTCCTTCTTGGCCCTTAAGTGTTAAACAATGGTTACTGTTTCTGACTAATCTAGTTGGAGTTGGAGTTTACTAAGGCTCAGCCTGTGGACATCATCTCTTTTCTTTTTGAGACAGAGTCTCTTTGTGTTGCCCTTGGTAGAGTGCTGTGGCATCACAGCTCACAGCAACCTCCAACTCTTAGGCTTAAGTGATTCTCTTGCCTCAGCCTCCCAAGTAGCTGGGACTACAGGCACCCACCACAGCACCTGCCTAATTTTTGGTTGTAGATGTCATTGTTGTTTAGCAGGCCCTGGTCAGGTTTGAACCCACCAGCCCTGGTGTATATGGCAGGCGCCCTAACCACTGAGCTATGGGCGCTAAGCCATATCTTCTCATCTAGATATGGCTTAGCGTCCATTCCCTAGATGATCTACTGTCCTGGCTTTAAATGCTGTCAATATCCTGATGACCCTGATTTCTTTCTCCAGCTTGGATTTCTCTCTGAACACCAGTTTGGTTTTTTTTTTTTTTAATCTACCTTTGTACTCAAAAACTCCACCCACATGCCTGATGGGAATCTGATATTAGCAACATGTAAATCTGAGTTCCTGGTCCCCACCCAATCCTGTTTTTCCCACCAGGCTTTCTTATCCAAGTAATGGTGACTGTTCCACTTGTTCAGACCAAGTACATGGAGTCACCTTTGACTTCTCCTATTCCCCTAGTCCACATCTGCTCCCACAGCCAATCCTGTGTTCTCTGCCTTCAAGCTGTGTTTGCATCTGACTACTTTTTGGCCTTCCTACCTTTAATACCTTAGATTAGGCTAACATCATCTCCAGTAGCATTACTGGGATTAGAGCAGGAACATGGCAGTGATGCTTAGGTTCTCAAAATAGGAAGAGACCTTTCAGATTATCTAGGCTGTTGATTGTCACTGGCCTCAGTTGGGCCAGAGGTATTCTTGGAGTGCCTCTGGAACTATTGTAGGGATGAGGAGGAAGTCATGTGAGTGATATGTGGATGACTGTTGTCCCCATCAGCAGCCTTAGTGAGAGCGGCTTAGCTTTTATCTGTTTTGTACATTTGGTTTCTACACTAGAGTTATTTGAATAACAGGTTCTACTGCTTTTGAAAATTTCAAAACTGTACATTGCAACTAAACTCCTCTCCCATGAGATATTTGACCATTGTTGGAGAATTGTTTCTTTGATGTCCCTAGGTGTGTCTCTGTCTCTCTGTAGCATTTACCCTGTGACTGTACCTGAAGGCCAACTAGTTACCAGGCTGCCTCTCTTTTCTCATCTGGTCTGCCCCACTGTTCAGAATCATCTTCTCTACCACAGCCCATTGCACAAGGCCCAGGTGACAGTAAGCCTCCATGTATGTAGACGGAGACTGAGCTTTGATCTGAGAGGCTGAAGAGTGGAGAAGTTCATCAGGTTTGATAGACCACCTTCAGGGTGGTTCAGGATGAACAGAGGCAGAGATTTCTTTTTTCTTTTATTTTTTTATAGAGACAGAGTCTTACTTTATCACCCTAAGTAGAGTGCCACGGCATCACACAGCTCACAGCAACCTCCAACTTCTGGGCGTAGGCGATTCTCTTGCCTCAGCCTCTAGAGTAGCTGGGACTACAGGCGCCTGCCACAATGCCTGGCTATTTTTTTGTTGCAGTTTGGCCGGGGCTGAGTTTGAACCCGCCACCCTCAGTATATGGGACTGGCACCCTACTCACTAAGCCACAAGTGCCGCCTAGAGGGGGCAGAGATTTCTTCAAGTCAGCTATCTCTTTTAGTTAGGAACCTGCCTGTAAGTCAGTGTCCTGGCCAGAGAGAAAACAGTTGGGAGCATATTGCTGAAGTGGACAAGTCAGATATTGATGAAATGTGCAAAGGGGAGATTGAAGACTGCTTTGAAGACTGTCTGGATACAGGTGGTGAGCGGGCCCATGAGGAGAGGAGGGGCTCCTGGGCTTGCACCTTATGACCCAAGACGTCACTGCTCAACAGCCTTGGGTCTACATCCACACCTTGTGTTGTGCTGGCAGCTGAGGGGGCAGCTGGAGCCCAAAAAACCTGAAGGGCTCAGAATATGGCAGCATGATTTCAGCGTCAGGGTGGGTATCCTGGATGGTCAGAAACATTGGCCAGTCACTGGTTTGAAACAGAGATTGAAAATTGCATCATTTTCGGGTGGCGCCTATGGCTCAGTGGGTAGGGCGCCAGCCCCATATACTGAAGGTGGCAGGTTCAAACTTGGCCCCAGCCAAACTGCAACAAAAAAATAACCAGGCATTGTGGTAGGTTCCTGTAGTCCCAGCTACTGGAGAGGCTGAGGCAAGAGAATTGCCTAAGCCTAGGAGTTGGAGGTTGCTATGAGCCGTGTGACACCACGGCACTCTACTGAGGGTGAGAAAGTAAAACTGTCTCTACAAAAAAAAAGAAAAAAAACTGTCATTTTTTAGGAGTCATTTTCTAGGCAGTGAGGTAGGGACATGAGCAAAACCAGGATCCAAGACCTTTTTTGCGACTCCCAGCCACCTTCTGAGATAAATAGGATTATTATAAGAAGAGAAACTGACGCTGAGAAAGGCTGTGTGAGTTGCCCAAATCACACATCCAGGGATGTGGTTGAGCCCCGGTAGATCTGGTTCCACAGCCAATAACCTTACTTCCTTGTACAGACAGGGAGCAGGTGTTACTGAGAGGGAAGGACAAGGTGGGGGACTCAGTATCAGACCTGATAAACACAGTGTATTCTTATCAGTGCAGTGTCTGTAATTGATGTAGAATTTTATATTTCAGTAAGGAGCCTCTACATCCCCTATTTTCCCCAATTCTTACAAGGTTCTTGAGTATGTATTACCTGCACATGATGGGTGAGAAAGCAGAAGCTTAGAGAGCCAAAGGGATTTGTCGAAGGCCAATGATTAATCGTGAACTCAAGGACTGGATCCCAGGGCTTCTAAATGTTGGTCAAGGGCTCATTGTTTCATTGGACAGTCATCACCAGTGTTACTGAGAAGGAAAGCTGATCAAAATCAGGAGTCAGCCTGCTTGAGCCAGGGAGAAAGATGGACACAGGTGGTATCCTATCTCTTAAGATCCAGGAGGATGGTGGGGTTGCTTTCTGATTCCTTCAGTAGGTAATGTCCTGCTGGCCAGTGTGGAAATAAGCACATACTTTTCCTCCCTTTTAACTGATGTAACCATGATGGCAGATTGCTAAACATTTTTAGTAAATATTTGTTGTTTTTTTAGAAAGAAGTTTTCCCATTTCCGGAAGTTAAGCAAGATGAGCTTAATGAAATCAATCAGTTCATAGGACCCGTGGAAAAATTCTTCACTGAAGAAGGTATGTATGGTTTTCTTCATTATTGCTTATTTTCATTATAAAGGTAGATAGGTCAGTATTTACATTAGAAGTGGCATCTGTAGGGAAGTTCTCTTGAGTATCATTAATGAAGGAGAAATAGTTTCCACTCTTAATATTTTGCTCTAAGGATCATCCCAATTGCTGTTTAATGAAAAGTCCTCTAGTTGCGTGCTCCTCCATGTGTCTGTGGTAAAGGAACACTTGAGCGTTTCCAACTGGTTGCAGACAAACACTTCTGGGAGATGCAGTAAGAAGTCACCTGGCTTCTCTCAATTGATGCAGAAAAAGCTTTTGATAACATCCAGCATCCCTTTATGATCAGAACACTTAAGAAAATTGGTATAGAAGGGACATTTCTTAAA